CATCGAAGATTGCTGCCTGTTGTGGCGACAATTATAGGAAAGCGGCTTCCAGATGCACGTGACAATAATATGCCTGCAGAATCACGTAAAATGTTACAGCGATCCCTGCTCACGTTGTTCAAGCCATTTCGTAGACCAGCGGATTTGGTTTTGGGTGGCCGTGACTCTGCTTTTATGTTCCAGAGCTGGTGGGATAATGAAGCACCCGATAGTGCACGCCAATTTCTCGAAAACTCTAATGATTATTATACTTCCCGTGAATTAGCGCGCAAACGCTCAGATGAAAGCATGGAGCGCTTCAGGGTCAGCGTGGGTGCAAGCGATCTTCACGACATTGAAAGCGATGACGACATTATCGACGAACCATTTAACATGGGTGAAAGGGAGACCGAAGTTGTAGATCGATTTGAAAGCGATTGTGACAACCGTGTTGAACTCGAACCAGCAACAAAAAGTATATTGTTGCTAAAGAAAGGGCTGTTATCAGCAAATCTCGCGACTAAGTCTTGTTTAGGAAATATCGTATACGATTTGCCAAGTCTCGATAACTCGAAATGGAGTGAGCGCATCGCGCAAGCGGAGCAAGTTTATGCGAGGGCAGATTCGACCAGTTTCTGTGGAGAAAGATTTATTTATTGCTCTGATAATCCAACTCGTGTACGAATGTTACTGAGGCAAGGCGACAATGATGAATTGGCGCCACTACCCACTGCCTATCAGCGACAAACCCTCGATGCAAACCCATCGCTTCGTGACGTATCGAGTTTTTATCAGCTCAATCGGAAACAACACAAAATGTTCACGCGAGCTGGTTCCCGTCTTCTTCAGACCATAGTATCAGACGACAGTGGTTCGGTTGACCAGATGATAGGCTTTCTGTCTGGGCTTCCCGGATCGGGCAAAAGTCGCGTTATAAAATCACTTCAAGCTCTTGCTAAAGCTTGGAACAGCCAAGATGCTCTCCAAACGGTTGCGTACCAGGGTGTTGCTGCCAAAGCTGCAAATGGGCAAACAATTTATAAACTGTTCCAATGGAATATCAACACGAATTGCTACACCAAACGATATAGCCTCGCGCAGAAAGAACTGTTTGCACCTTTAAAAATGTTAATTATGGATGAAGTATCTACCACGGACGTCAAACTCATTGGAATGATTGATCATGCCTTGCGTGAGCTGAAAAATAAACCCAACGCGGTGTTTGGTGGAATTCACGTTCTCTTCGTGGGTGATTGGCTCCAGCAGCTACCGGTCGCAGGTGTTCCGGCTTTTGTAGATCATCCTCCGCTGCCATCATCAAAATTCCAAGCACAAAGCCACAACAATGACACTACTACTTACTTATCAAGACTTCGGGGTATAGATGCGTACAAGAAAAACAATGAAGTTGTTATTCTCGATGAAAACATGAGACATCGCGGCGATCCCACGTGGGCTAACATTTTAAATCGCTGGCGTTACGGAGACTACAGCGAAGAGGATATTGAATATGTCAACAATCGATGCTACAAGAAAAACTGGGAAGGCCTATCTACGGATATGAAAGCATTCTGTCCCATTATTGTGACTTCAAACACTCTTCGCTGTGAGTTTAACGAGGAAGCGTCGGAGATTTTCTGCCGAAGTGATCAAGCTCTGCACCGATTTCCTGCAACTGTGACGCGGCAGCGTTTCCAGCTGTCCCGAAGCGAGCGACGAAGTTTAGATCAACTTCGTGACGACAAGACGGGCAATATGCCTATTGTTTTTAATTTCGCAATTGGAATGCCAGTACAGTGCACGCAGAATGTGAGTCGCGCGCTGCAACTTGCAAATGGGACCATTGGTCATGTTGTTTCATTTGTACCTCATCCAGATGACACTGTACGAGCAATAACCAAAGACAAAGAAAATGGAGTGCTACACATCAGCGTTCACTCGAAGCCCCCCGACATTGTTTTCGTGAAGCTTTTGGAATTCGACAAATCATCACCTACTGTTGAAGGATTACCGCCTGGAATAATCCCGGTGCAATCCATAAAAAAACCTGGAATTAGAGTCGAACTACCGCAGCGGTCCTTCACCATTCAAGTTCTTCAAGCTCCCTTGGTACCAGCATTCGCTCTCACATCAGAAAAATGTCAAGGCCTCACAGTTCAGAAAGTAATTATCGGCCCATTGCGTCATTCTACAAGGAGAATGCCACAACGCTCGTCGTTCTACGTGGCAGTGACACGCGTCACAACACTAGAGCAGCTCTATCTTACGGAAAAGCTCACTATGCAAACTCTTCGATACTTCACCCCTAATCAAGCCGCTCTTGAAGAAACCCGACGACTTGAAGCTCTTGAGAAAAAATGTGATGAGCACCACTTACGTCGTCGTAGCTAACTCAAATGAACGAATGAATATTATTTCTTAAATGTACTCGCTTGGGATCAGTTACATTTTTGAAACCTTTGTTACAATAAACCTTGCAATCCATAAAATAAACACCGTTAAAAAATTTTTCATGCTGCACATATACTTACTACTTTACTCCATCTAAGCATAGGTGTTATTACCACCTCTCATAATTTTACGCAAGTTCCACATGTAACCTTGTCTTCACTATCAATGGCTCACGACATCTAGTAGTCCCGTCGGCATCTTGATGGGATTCAACCTTGATCGCATTATCGGAGGAGAAGCAGCAACTTCTTCGCTACTGCATACACCATATTTTCTACCTCCGACTACTTGCAACGTTGACCAACGCTCAGCACTATGCTCACTGCGCCAAAATTTCAGAGCTCATCCGGGCGCTCGCGCACGGCCTTGTTCCAGTAGCTGAAACGCTATACCCACTATGAACCTTCAACCCATACGAAGCTTTTTTAATAGTAGTTATTGTCGATCCTATGGTCAGTCCTCCATCATCGCTACCACGAAAAATATTGTAGATCTCCTTATACCTGGTATTATTGTAGAACCGAATTCCATTCGTTGATGCATTGCCTGATGGGAATCTAATAATTGAAGATGAATCAAGTACCAGCGCTTTGCTCAAAACAGCTGCACCAGGCGTCAATATAGTTGATTTTAAAAGCACTAGCAGTAATAAGAGTGCATCCGAGAGATAAGCCAGTCGTCAATCCATTGTGAGAAGAAATGTTCAACGTGGATACACTTGTGATGTTTGGCTGAGAAGCTGTTTGAATCGTTCCTGATAGTTGCAATGAATTGATATTCATAATATTACGAGAGGAGTCGACAATTAAGGCCTTACTCGCTTGAGCAGTGCCAGCAGCGGTGTCAACACAGTTAATTTCTGAACCACTTGCTGTAATTAAAACACCCCCGAGCGATAGGCCAGTTGTTAATCCATCATGCGACGCGATATTCAATAGTCCTTTGTGGAAGTTATCCATTTTTCCAAAAGTCATCTGCCAGCATAAGAATACAAGCATGTGTTTCATTGACCTACTGTTCTAACGCATTAGTGGTATCAAATGATTTACTTTTCTATTGGTAATCGTCTATACCTTCGTCCTTCTAACGGTCGCTCCACCTTATGCTCGACGTTTTGTGCTATGCTATCGTGCGAATTCGAAATGAAGGCGTTCACTTTCGAATTTACTGTCAAGCTTCTCAGTAATCCACTCCCTTCACCAACATCGGAACAATGCCATCTCGCCAGTCGCCCGCAACGTCCTGGACCCCAACACTAGCAACGTCGTCTCTCCAGTCGTCTACTTTACCGAGGTCACAAGGCCGTTCGACGTCTCGTGGATCATCCGCTTCGTCAAGAAGCGTGGCAGCAGCACGTTCGCGCTCGGTTCGCGCAGAGCCGACTCGTTCTCGGGCAGCCTCTAGCTCGCGATCGTCCAGAGCCCATCTCCAGTCGATGCTAGAGATACTTGAAGATCGCGAGGAGGCTCGACCGGAGTAGCTGAACCGGCACTCTGATGAAGTTGACGTCAACAACACGGAACCGACCTCAACGTGCCCAATTTTTTATGGTATTTACCGTGCCGGAGGAGCCGAGGCCGTGCTACGGCTCACGAACTTCTCTCCAAGCGAGATAAACATATTGTGGTTTTCCGTATGTGGACATGTGCATCGATACTGGAACGTCGGACGCGGAAGGCGCTCCACATTCGCCGCTAAGGACGTATTTTTCATGTGGTCATGAAATGCATGGTGGCAAGAATTTTCAAAGTGAAGACGCCGACTTTCATTAAGACTATCAAGGGATTCATTGAGGTGGTGACACCAAAACGCTACGAAGAGTGGGTAACCTCGCAACTAGACGTGACCACGATGCGGGCGCTTGTAACGTCGGGGCATACGCTTAACAACTTTCCTTGCGCATTGTACGCCACCGACGTCACATTGAGAGAGCAAAATGGGGCATGCTATCGCCAGTACCAGAATCGGCTTTTGGCGATCGGAGCAGAGATGAAAAAGCGGCGTCGCCTAAACCAAGAGCGTTACCGGCGCAACCAGCACCTTCGCCACCAAATGCAGTTGGATGATCACCCTGTGCACAGTGACTTTGAGATTGGCAGCGACCTGTTCTAAGCCGAGTCTGATACAACACAAATGCCCCGTTAGGAAGCCGACAAGGATGTTTCTTAGTTATTCGATAGATAACGTTTTGAATGGTTTCGTTTACGTTTCCGAGTAGCTATAGCGTTCTATAGGGTAAATTCGAATCCGACCAATTTGTCCATATGTTTTTTAGTCGACTCAATGGGGATTGGTTTCATCGTTCGATTTAGGTACTATATGAAAATTGTGCTTCTTCTTTTGAGGATAAATGTATTCACTGAAGTAATGTTCGACTGATTCGATGTTTGGATCGTTCCTGTTAGTTGCGTGGCCGATAGAGAATTGATTCCTGAGATGTTACTTGATGCATCGAGGACCAACGCCTTACTCGCAGTTGCCGTACCGGGTGTGATACCAGTAAGATACGTTGTCAAGCTCCCAACCGCTACTCCATTCACTGTTAAACTACTACAGCCGAGTGCGCCACTACCACGGATATCTTTGTTAGGCCCTGGAACAAGCGCTACACCCTCCGTGGCTGACCCTATTGTAATACCCGAGATATAAGACAATCTGTAGTCATTTTTGCTGAGGTAAAGCGTCTGAGCATAATCATAGGTTAGAAATCCACTCGCATCCAGAGATAGATAGAATATATAGATAGGTGATTGAAAGACAGGTTGTGGATATGAAAACCAGAACTCATTTTGTCTGAAGCTATATAGATCAGACGATAATCATGAGCGGTATTCCCGATTTCGGAGCATCTTTACCAAAGAAATTCAGAAGCGCCTCAGTGAGAGACATTCCTGATTTGAACATCAAATCATTGTTCAGAATGATAGTGCTCGGCCCGTATTTTAGCGGTAAAAATATTCTCGGCTCGTATTTTAGCGGTAAAAATAATCAATGTTTGTTTATTCTTAAACATTCCCCCCATGTGTTTGCACATCTAACTATCATCGCAAGAAACCCCCATCAGGAGATGTACGAGTATCTTCGCGACAAACTTGACGGATTTATTACTTTTACTGACCCTGATGCGCCCCCAAGCGTAGATCAAGTTCGCAGAACCCCGATGAACTCAAATAAACCTGAACTTGTTATCATTGATGACTACTGCAACGACAATCTACTCCAGAAGAATCTGTTTTCTCACTACTTTACTCGTGGCCGCCATTTCAAATTGACTACCATTTTCCTTAGTCATAGCTACTTTGCCACTGACAAGAGGATTAGATTGAATGCAGAGTATGTATCTATTCTAAAAACTAATTCCAAGCGTGATTTGGTCATGGTTGTGAAGGACTTCAATATACCGGGAGTTGATGAACGTAGTATCGTATACTACTACAACAAAGCCACGGAACGTAAAGGTCAGATGTTATTTGTGGATTCGGTTAAAGGTCAGCTTCGGTACAACTTCGATCGCATATAGATTCTACGATAAGTGAAACACGACTATCCCTATTTCAATCCTTTCGGAATAAATTGAAAATATATTGATTGAATCAATATACACTAGTAATATGGATTCGTTTCTTAAGCTTGATTCAACCAATCATGTCCAAGATGGATACAATTCAACATGGAAGTATAGTTTCCCGGGGTCGGCAGCAGATTTTAAAAATGTTGCCTGCGCGGTGCAGTCGATTTCTATGTACAACTCGAGTATAACATCGATGCAGCTCAGTTCTGGAACAATTCGTTCAAGATCGAAGTACCGACAGCAGCTACAACATCCACTATCTCTATAACACTATCGGATGGCTTATACTCGTATGCAGATATCAATCGAAATATTCAGACAGCTCTCGTAAACGCAGGAGCTTTTCTAATCGATTCTACTGGTAACAATGTATTTTATAGTCAACCGAAAATAGCGTATATTACGCTGCTCAATTCGATTTCAGTGCTACGCCAGCATCGCTCCCGCCTGGATACACTCGACCTACTACTGGTTTATATAGCTCTGGAGGAACGGGATTACCAACTACGACGCGAGTCCCTCGTATTATTATCGATAATGCTGCGTTTGGCAAGGTAGTTGGGTTGACTAGTGGTACTTACCCTGCGGCATCTACTACGGTATCATCTGCACAACTCTCAAATACTATTCCTCAGATTCACCCGAGTTCGAGCTATGTTGTACGCTGTGATATCATTAAAAAAAATCAATACGTAGCTTCGGGCGATATTCTAAGCGCTTTTGATAGAGGCGATGCTCAAGTAGGACAACTGATATCCTACAAACCGAGTCAATATGCTTGGATGAACTGCTTTGACGGATCTAGATCTTCGATCACTATCTCCATGTATAACCAGAATGATCAAAAAGTTAAATTCAGAGACACTTCAGTATCAATAATGCTCCTCCTTAGATCAAAGAGTTAAAGCTCGCCACTAAAAAAAGCATGAGTTGATTTTTTTTAAAAATAAAATTGGGCGGAATTAATTTAATCGAAAAGAGCCAGCTACCATCAGTTTCTTACGCTTAGCACGGAGAGCAGCCATTCGATCCTTTACTTCTTGAGAACCCTTTATTAGTTGTGTCCGCTTTTGAATGCCTACCCCGTAGTGTCGTCTGACTTCCCCTCGTACTGGTTTAATAAGCGTTTCATGTTCAGGTTTCGTTGCTTACTAAGAAGATAGTTTTCCCCGACATTGACTGCATCTGTAAGGACACCCTTGCGTTTTGCATATCTAAGCGCAGACTTAGCTGCTTTCTTCACGTCTGCTACGAAAATACGACCTCCTACATCTGGGACTTGCCCATCACTATCGTAAATACCAACACCTGTCATAGACTTAATTGCTGCTCTGACTGGAATAGCTGCTTGAGGGGCTCCTAAGGCTGTCGCCAAAGCAGGCACTGCTGCGTCCGCTGCTTTCGACAGTAATCCACTGTCTCTCACAAATTTGAATGCTGACGATAATCCCGATTTGATTTTGCTCCAGATGGATCCACCTTGAGCTCGTTTGTAGCCTTTCTTGATTTCATGTCGGGTAATATCGAGTCGCACGCCTCGTCCTGTTTTACGTGATTTCATAGCCTTCTCGTATGATGTAGGGTGGAGATGGATAACAGCACCGGATCCTATTGATTGATCTGCTGTAAGACTTAGCTTACCCGTCTTGAGGGCTGTAGTCAGCTTGACAGCAGGAACATCGCTGGAAATACTTAGTTCTCGATACATAATTGCAATATACCTTGAAACATAATTATTCAAAGTGAGATCTTTCATCTTCCTGAATACATCTGGTCGCTTGTATTGCTTTGAGTAAAGCCATAGGAGGCAGAATATTCCACAGTAATCTCCGTATGTTCCTTGATATTGCTTTGGATAGTAGTATATACCAATTCCAATTTTTGTGGGGGCTGCTTCACCCATTGAATCGAACAATGTATTATTACAAACACAAACCCAGTGTCCTACATTCATATTAGGTTGTCAAAGAAGAATAAGATATGAACTTCTCTTTGGAATAGGTTTAGTTATCTCACTCGACTCAAATATATCATCGAAATGAACACCTATTTTCTCAGTGAGTTCAATTAGATCATGGACCGATGTACAGTAATTGGTTTAATGAGATGAGCCATAATAATTAATTTTCTGAAACTATATAGGAGACCATATAGATTCTACGATAAGTGAAACACGACTATCAGACCACTATTTGTACCAAAGTTCGCTGAAAAGCGCCCCAGAGATCAAGGTATCGACAGGGAAGCGCGTACCGTTCGTTATCGATCTTAATCAAGGTTCTTACCGGAATGGTGTTTTTACGATTGATGCAACGGCACAGCTAAATGGAAGTGAAGGTTTCGCTTCCCTCCGTGATGCGTATATCATGCTTCCCTACAAGGTATCAATGAAGAATGGTGGCACTGCTCAAACAGCGGCTGCAAACCGATTTTGCGGGACACTAAAGTGCGGCAACTGGAACGTGATTGACTCGATGTCTTTTGAGCTTAACGGAAAGACTATTGTCAGTATGACCGACTACAAGTTGTTTTGAAATAATATTCGTGCTCAAACTGGTTACAGCCGTCAGTATGTTGAGAAGCATGGAGCGGAGTCGTTCCTATACCCTGATGTTGCCCAATCAGTATCATACAGTTATGGTACTGCTTCTACCAGTGGTGATGGTTACTCGAACACTGCAGCTTTCTCGTTTACGTTTAGCAGATCAGCCCTCCCCCCTCCCACCTTTGGAGGTGCCACGATCGGAGGAACTGCTGCTTCTACTACAATTGCTATCCAAACTGCACGTGGTGCTTTTGTTGCTCGTGCTTCAACCGCTAATGCAATCATGGGTACTTGGAACTATATGCTTAAAATTAAGCTGGTTGATCTTCACCTTATTTTCAAGGAACTTGATCTGATGGCAAATCCTCAACTCCGCCTCCGTTTCCGCGTCAATCAGGGTACTTCTGCTAGCGCTGTTGATAGTGGTAAAGGCATGTCGCTAACGAGAACTACGCTGTCGTCTGGTAATGTATGCCCTGTAATGGTTGCTGCCTCTAGCACTGGCAACCCAATGGCCGGTGTGCTTGCTGCCTCTGCTGGGTTTAGCGTTGCTTGGGGTGCTGTGGTCAATTCACTTGAACCCACGATCGATGGTACCTACATGCCTTTCACCACATCACGCTTTTACGTACCCTTCGTAATCCTCAGGCTATTATCTCGAAACCCGTCGAAAAAAGTTCGTTTCAATGACTGCTACGCTCAGTGGTTCTACCAACGTGCTGGTAGTGAAAAGCAATCGAGCCAGTTCAATGCTGCTTTTGACCTCCAACTACCTGCCAGTGTTAAAAATGCTAAGTATGTTATGCTTTTACCATTCGCAGAGCAAACGGGCAGCTTCGCTTCTGCTGCAGTTCAGGAGTTTCAGAGTCCATTTGGCTCTGCCCCTTGGACCCTAGAGTACGGTGCCCACGAGATTGGGCTTCTAGTAGCACACATGCTGTGTCCCCAGAAGAGGCGCTTCGCTGCGCACTGGTCCATGGTCGAGGACGGCGCCATACCAGCCGGATTGTTCGGGCGGTACATGACGCGTGACCGCTGCCAAAACATCCTGCGTGACCTTCACTTTGTCGACAACAGCTCTGACCACGGCCGCGACAAGGTGTGGAAGTTGCGCCCTGTAGTGGACAAAATCCAAGAGCGCTTCCTGTCAGGTTGGACTCTGCCAACCATCTTCTCTTTTGATGAAGGCGTTCTTCCTGGCACGTCGAAGCTCAACACCACGCGCATGTTCATGTCAGACAAGCCGCACCGATACGGGTCCAAACTATTTATGCTATGTGACGCAAAGACCGCGTACTGCCACAGGTTTTCTTCACATCTATGTCGTAAGTTAAGGTTTGGATGGGATGCTCACAACTCTATATGTCGTAACTGTTCTAGAATTGAAGTTTATGCGGGCAAACATAACCACGTGGATGGAGGAGATACCGGAATCGACGTCAAGACCGGAGCAGCTGCCATATTGAGGAACCTGAAGGCTGCGTTCACTCCTGAATCGCGCCACAACTGGCATGCTGTGATCATAGACCGATACTACACCTCGGTTCTTCACGCCGTGGAGCTGCTGAAGATGAAGGTTTTCGTCGTTGGAACGATCATGACAAACCGCTTGGGGTTCGACAAGTGCATCAAGTTAGGTAGCAAGACCCGCTCAACAAGCATCCCGGGTGGTTCTTTCGTCTTCTCGCGCTCAGTCGCAGTTCCTGCCATGACCTCGTGCCTCTGGTGGGACCGGAATCCAATTTACTACCTCTGCACGGGCTCCGTCATGACGTCGTCCACGATCGAGAGTGTCCTCGATCTCGCTCTAGTCAACTCGTTCCTGACCCACAAAGAGGCAGCCAAGATCAAAGGGACAGTCGCTATGAAACGCTCCGATTGGTTTACAGCCCTGCAGAACCAGCTCCTGCAACTGAAGGCCGAGAACTTTGCAGGGATCCAAGCGACAGCACCTTCGTCCCGCCAAAAGCGTTGGCGAACATCAGAGCGCCATGCGCACGCACTCGAGCATTCCGAAGGCTGGGCTACCGTCACCGGCGTTTAGAAGCGCCGCCAACGGTCGTGTAAGGTTTGTGCGCTCCTTCGCACAGAGAAGAGGAAGTCCTTCGCGACAACTTACTTTTGCGAGCATTGCTCCGTCGACAACGCCAAGTGCTGGCTCTGCAACAAGACCCGCCGCGAGTACAAGGGCGTCGCCAAGACCTGTTTTGAGATCTGGCACGACGATTTCGGCGCCGGGCAGGACATTCCTGCCCACCTGGGGAAGCGCGTCGTGCTGCGCAGGCCCGGAAAGAACACAGAAAACTGCAAGAAGACACGGCGGGAACTGCAGCCTCTCCGTCAGGAAGGAAGTGATGGGACGACGCTGACAACGACAGCAATGATGAATGAAGGCTGCGTATCAGTTGATGAGTGGTGAGCTTCGTGTGGTTGAATGCAAATTTTGTTGAGCCAACGTACCTCTGAAATGCGTTGCAGATCAGTGCACCTCCCCGGCTGTCTATTGCTTGCAAGTGGAGCAAGTGACGACATTGAGCGGTGATTACTCTCTCACAATGCCGTATCACTGACGACATTGACTGGAAAATCTGCTGACAATTTATACACCTATCCCGACGACATGGCCAATACAAATGCCAAGTCTTTCTGTAAGTCGTAACTTACGACATGCGCTTATGCGTCAAGAGGCGATTACCGTTCGGAGCCAAGATATTAATAAGTCTAAGATTGTCTTGAGGTTCGCATGAATTTGCCTCAACACCAGTCCATTCTACGAGGTACTTGTACTTACCGTTGCGCATCTTCTTATGATCAACAATGCGTACAGCTTCAAGAATATCACCACGATTGATTGTTGCATCAGAGGTATCCGATTGGACCACTTTGAGATCACTTGGAGGTTTATAGAGTGTATGACCGTTTTAAGATCTAATTTCGACTCGATATCCATCAATAGCTATAATCGGGTAGGTGGCTTTACTCCATTTAGCCGCTTCTTTATCAAACGTTTGCTTTTTTAGACGATAAATAACGTGAGTACCGACCTCAAACGCATTCTCAACCTTATCAGATTCTTTTTGATTATGTTTTAGATCTGACTCCATTACTTTCCCTATAGCTTCGTTGGGGGTCATACCTATTGACCAGTGGAATGTGGAGTTAACGTTTTTGATGACATCACTGATCAGCTTCGGGGATATACGTTTTGGTGAAATCTTTGTTAGTCTCTGTTTAATGGTTCTGTTAAATCTCTCAATTTTCCCCATAGTCCCATGGTCCCCAGGCTCATTGTTAAAATGATCAATATTCTGCTTTCAAAATATTTCTGAAGCTGTGTATTCATAAACTCGCTTCCGTTATCACTCGTAATGATATCCACCTTTTGTGTGCGTACAAATGTCTTAATAGATGCCAACACTACTAGCGCATTCTTGCTAGATAGAAGCTTTGTGTACCCAACCCGAGAGTTGATGTTTACAGCAGTTAGTATCGGTTGCTTTTCCCAAAACGCGAGATCGATTTGCCAAGAGTTGGGATTGTGGTAAGCGATTTTGAAGCCATCAAAGCTTTTCTTTTGGTCTTGAAGTCGTTGTATATCAGCTTGACTTTGGTACCATGTTTTAATGATTGTCAGAGTTATTTTAGGGTTTAACTCTTTCGCCTTTTGATATAGTGCTTGGGCACCGATATAATCTGTTTTCGGGTCATAGTAAGGCTTGTGTAATATTTCATCCATGAGTAGAAAACTGCTCTATAAAAATTGGTATAAAATATATGCTTTCCTCCCAGAAGCGTATGAATTATATGTCCAATGGAGCGGTGGGAACTCCATCATCTAGAACGCGTCGCTTGTTGTAATAGTAATTTAGAGCCGTTTTAGTTTGACTATAAGTAATAATTGACCTCGTTGTATTACTTAGTCGAAAGCCCTTGTTAGTACCTTCTAGTGTGATGCGATCACGTACTACCGTTTCAAAACCATCTGGATTAAGTACATCATCATTGCGAGAATTTTCCTGTTGAATACCCTTGGCTGAAACCTTGACCTTGTATGATTCATCAGGTAGGTAGCAGATGTAATTCTTTGACGATAACGATAACGATACCATATCATCACTTGTCCATTCGTCTTTAAATAAACCTGGTGTGCGACGTTCGAACTTTGCTACCTTGGAATTATAGTCGCGAGGGAACCAATCGTATTTGTTCTGTTTGAAGTGATCGCGCAGCTCAGGCTTAATGCAGTTCTGAAACCGATTATCACAACTGAAAGCCATGTATGCTGAGACTGTGTCCATTTCCTGATACTGGAAGTCGGACCTATTGAAGTAGAAGTCAATGCAATCGTAGTAGAACTGTACCATGCGAAGCTTGGCCAGTTGGTAGATAGCAATGCTTAGATGAATTGGATTCTTGTTTTGGATACGTCGCTTTTTTCATACTGATCTCACATGAATCGTTGAGCTCCTCCAATCCGTGGAAGGTGAATTGCTCAATTCTAGATTTTACTGCCTTATCGTCTGATTCATATTTGACTTCCTTGTGTTTGCTCATATCCGCGCAACTGCGACCAAAAGCACTGTTGCCAACAAGCTTCATCATCTCAGCAATCATAGTTTTGGATTTGGCAGCATCACCCTCACGTCGAGCGTTTGATACCGCTTCCATAAATGAAGCAAATGCTTTGTGGGAACTGGCTTTGATAAAGCTATAAGTTTTTAGTGATCTCCTTTCCGTACGCTAGGTACCACTTAAGCAGTGGGGTGTATATGAGAAGTTTATCCCCAAAGTAGCTTCCAATTAGCTTGCGAGCTGGCTTGGCTCGGCTTCGCTTGTGGGCCTCGTTATAGCTAAACATGTGGGAACCAATAACATTTTCATCTGCACAATCAATAAGAGTACTTTTGAAGATCGGTGTCATCTCACTAAAGTACTCCTTTAAGTGATTGGGAGTACGGATATCACACTCAAGAAATCCGAATACGTTGTCCGCCTTGATATCTTCGACAATACCCGGATATGCTTCAATCGTAGTCAATCGACCGCACGGCATTTCATTGCCGAGTGCCAAAAGATATAAAGCTATCCGATGATCTTTTTACAAAGTCACCACCTCGAATCGTTGTCTCGTTGCGTTTGGCATACCTGTTGAAGATGATAGATGGTCCTCCTGCAATGTTATGCTTCATCTTAGCATAGATATCTTTCTCCACCTTGTCGATGCTATATACTAGCCTGTCCGAGTTGAAATCGAGCAGTTTTTGGTATCGAAACCCCTTCAGAGACATATCCTTACGAGCAACATTGCACTCAACACAACTGATCAAGATATTGCCATCGATATGGCCAAGCTTGTTGTTGTACCGTCGGTAAACATGCCGAGGTAAAAGCGTTAGAAAAGTTCGCGTTGAGCCTGGATAGCCTTTATGAATGGGACTACATCGAGGTTATTGTACCAAATGAGTACGTCCTTGATCGACTTCATCTCATAGTGTTCCCAGACGAATTGAACTCGCTTGTAGTCCTCATCGCTGATGCTTGTACCTCGAAGTTTACTGCCGAATGCTGATTTTGGTGGGATCTCAGTTTCATGGAGTACATCGAATGAAGTAATGTACTCGTACGGAAATATACCCTTACCAAGCCCACAGACACATCGAACTTTGTCATCACATTTACAGTTCCCAAGATATGTACTGAGGTACTTGCTATAGCTGGTTCCAGCAGGAACGTAGTTGCTAATGTCAAGCATTTTTCATATTCGAAGTCCCGATGCACATGTAAGATGGGTTCTTGATGACTGATTTGAAATTGTCCGTTCCAATAACGGCAAACAAGTCGCTCTTGATAAGGTTAATATCATATCTACCAGAAATAAAACCAAGAACTGGTACCTGATCGATGGTCTGCTTTTGCTTTAGATAGTCTGAATGCTTCTTTCCGAAGCCGATCTTGCTATGGAAATCGAAGGAGTTTGCAAAATCTCCTACCTTAATCCATTTATCGATATCACCAGTGTTGTACTTGATATCAGGTTGAACTACTGGGATCTCAATACCAGCCAAACCATGGGCATTAATTATCTTGCGAAGCAACGTCTCATATTTGGAGACGTTGTATCGCTGAATTTGGTCGCCTACATATTTAATGTACTCGAACATTTCGTCTAGCAAAGCCTTTGGATTGTCATTGACGAAACAACGTACTTCCTCGGTTAAGCTATCGACTACTGATACGGATACAGGGATATGCGCGTTTGTAAAGACAGTATTTTTTCCCGTGCTTGACTCCTGTAGGCTTGATAATGGCCTCAAAGTCATAGACGATGAAGTGATCCACGTACTGATCAACATTTCTGATAGAATACTTCGTAAGCATTGAACCAATGGTGTTCGGAGCTGGTCGATAGATCGTTGGCTGAGCCGGGAACGACTCAATATTGACAAGCTCCCATTTATTTTTGGTATGATTTTTAAGCCTTTCCGAGCTGGCGAAAACCATATCACATTTTCCGCATTAGTATTTACGCTGAAGTATATCCAAGTTTTTGATGTAGAGAGCGTGATTCTCGTGTGAGAAAATGTTCATCGAATCGTAATCTTTGTCGGAAATCTGAATGTAATCAACTTTTTTCCAGAATCAATATCCATTGTGAAAAAAAAAGACGTTGATTCTAAGCTGGAAACGCCCCATAAGTTCATCGAAATGGAGAATATCAATAGGCTTGAATGTTCGGTATAGCCCTAGAGAAAAGTTAATAACCTTGGAAAAACAGTACTGCTTGAAAGCCTGCATTACTAAAGCCTGAATTCTCCGTGGGTCTTTTTTTTGGGTCGTGCCACTTGTGGAAGGTGATACAATGGAAGACGCACTTGTTGTTTGTCTTTGGGAAGTTGATGACACTTTTGTTATCACGGACAGCTTTAGGGATTATTGCTTCGCTATCACCTAATGCATGCTCTCGATGATACAGAAAAATATTATCCCGGTGATAGCTTTAACCATGTACCCAGATCTGGGGTAATTAAGTTTATCAACCAGTTCCATGGACCAAATCTCCGAAATTACCTTACGAACATCACTTCTGCTGTTAATAGCAACATGTGTGTTGAACACAGAGGTATTACTGAGATTTGGGTGAAAAGTATCTCGTATCAGAATTATCGGTTTTACTAACAAGGTCATAGCCAAGGGCAATGTTGACTTTGTAAGCACTTGACTGACTCTCAAGAATATTTTCAAGCTTGTCATAGAACTCACTACGGTGGATTCCTTCGTATAGGTGCGATTCTATGTGGTTGCCCTTGTAAAAACGATAGTGTGGGTCAGCCTTATAGTCTGAAGACAAGTTCTTCTTCAAATCATTAAGACTGACCATGTACTGCTTCGCGACAAGCTCTTAGTTTCTGGGGCGCGATAAGTTGCTGACATACACCATCTTACCGGTCCTACCGCGAACCTTACCTCTGTAGCTGCTCCCCTATTTAATCGCTCGGATATTTAATCTTTTTAGACCTTCAAGCTCGTATAGCCGTTGTATATATCGTTAGCTATATTTCTCTTCGTGAAATGACTTTATATTTTTGAGATTTTGTATCAGGATTGACTTTATATTAGGGTTGACTTTATATCAATAAATAAATAAATAATAATTAATTAAGTTCGATTATCATGCCTAAGGTCTTGATTAGGTTCGATTTTTGGTTTTCGCTTTCTTTGCCCTCTATTCTTGTCATCGTACCCTTTCTGATAGGACAAACGAGCTTCGCGTGTGCGCTGGTAGTAGCGCTTCTGCGCTGCTTTAATGCGCTCCTTGTTAGCTTGGTATTGCTCAGGTGAGTATGTCGCCATCTTTGTATATTATTAGCT